TCACTCTCCTTGACATTTTGCAATGTCATTCCTTGCAAGGCCTTTTGTCAAGGAATTGACTAAATTTTCCTTTGACTTCACAAATTCTAGACTCACCACTCCATCTTTTATTAATTTTTGTATGAAGTTATGTCTGGATGTAATGTGTCTGAATTTACCATTGTATGCATTAGCATTTTCAGGTTAATTGGTGAATCTAATCTTATTAATTCTTCACCATATTGTATAAAAATTTGGTGAATCTAATATTATTAATTATTCACCCGTCGGTAGAACATTAGTATTTTCAGGTTCATTTTATGCGTTGGATTTTTAAAGAACTCTCCATCACTTGATCCTATTGTTGTATTTGTACTAAGTTCTAAAAACCTCTATGCTTTACTTTTTGAGCATATCTTAAAAATATACACTTAGTGGCTCTAGGTTCAAGTTTATGTCTTATAAGATCAACGAGCCTCACATATGCTAGACATCCCTATACTTTGAGAAACTTTAAAGAAGGTTTTTTTAATAAACCATAACCTATATGGGGTTTTATTAACTTTTTATATATGGAATTCTATTAATTATCACACAAGCCAATAACCAGGCTTCACTTCATAAATTTAGAATTAAACCTCAATTTATTAACATGAAATTAACCATTTCCACCAATGTTCTATTTTTCTTTCTACAAACCATTTTGTTGTTAGGAATTGGGGTTTGGACTTAAGTAGTTAGCTAATGACTTTAGCAATACTAGATCTCAAGCTTATTCCTACAATTGAACTACCAAAAAAAAATTCATTTTGTTGATGGCTATATGGAGCAGTAACTTGATGGATTATTTCATTATTTTCACCAAAAAAAATTAATTTATTAGATAAGTATTATCCACCACTATCACATCTCAATATCTTTATTTTCTTATTAACAAATAAATATATGTATAACGTGAAAAATCATCTATGAAAGTAATAAAATAGCTTTTTCCACCTCTTGTGAAAATATTATTTAATTCACATATATCACTCTGTATGAGTCCTAACAATTCAATATTTCTTTCTACTAAAAGTGTTTTCTAGTAATTTTTGCTTGTACACAAGACTCACACTTTTCATTAGATATATCATCACAACTAGAAATAAGGCCTACCTTTAAAACAAATTTTATTGCAGTAAAATTTAAATATCGTAATCTAGCATGCCATAGAAAAGAACTCACAATTTCAACAAAAATATTCTTTATTTCATTTATCTAATAAAGTTTGAACATTCCATTACATCCCCTCCCCACAAGAGAGCAATTTTAGTAAAAAATAATCTTGTCAAATCCAATGATCATTTTGAATCCCTTTTTATTCAACAAATATCCTGACACCAAATTTTTCTCATGTCTAAGTATATAGTACACATTTTTTAAAGTCAATATTTTCCCAAATTGAACGTCAAATTCAATTGTCCCGCTATGAGTGCTTGAGTTCCCAATTGAACTTAATTCCCATCTACCGCTGGTTCATATGTCTTAAAGAAATTCCAGTTATTGGTCACATCGATGGTAGCATCAGCGTCTATCCACCAACCTTCCTCGTTATCAACCATATTAATTTTAGTGACCTTTGGAACCAAATTCTCATGAGTGGTTTTGTTTACTTGACATTGAGGGTTTTGAGGCCTTCTGCGGTGTGGACATTCCTTTGAATAGTGGCCGGTTTCTCCATAGACAAAGAAAACACCCTTCTTCTTTTTGGATTTTTGATCTGTCCTTTTGATTCTTAAAAGAGAAGGGCCTTTCAGTGTTTTGAGCCATGTCCTTTGACTTTTGCTCTACAAGATTAGTTTTAGAATTATATTCCATTACTTCCCCTTTCTTTTCTCAAATCCAAAACTCTTTCTCTATGCGAAGAGTTCATTGAAGTTGAACTAAATCAATATCAACCTTTTTGTGTTTCATCTTCTTTTATTATTCTTTTAAAGCGGGGATAACTTATGAATAATAATCCTTACTTGAAATACTTCATGAAGTTCAATACCACAAACTTTGAGTTCACTTACCACAAGTTGCAACTCATATACTAAGTTGAGTATTACTTTGTTAACGGTGAACTTAAACTCCAAATAATTCGAAAGTAAGAAACATTGATTACCCGATTCTTCCATTGAGTACTTTGTCTCCAACATTTGCTAAAGTTCGCTCACCGATGCCACCGAGCAATTCATTTCATAGATTGGCTCGGTAAGTGTGTTGAGAGTATGACCCTCATATATATAATGGTCCACTTCTTCATTTGGGATCACAACTCTGGCATAATTTTGTCTCACGAAACTGATCGCATATTACAAAATCTTGATTCATAACTTTGATGGAATTCATGCTTGCGCTCTCTCAATACTGCAATTTACCTCCGTACTGTAGAATAATAGCGTCCAAAATATAACCCAGATAAATCAATGCTCCGAATAGTAAATAGAAGGTCACTGATAATACTCACTAGCCTAATTTTGTACAGTATGGGCAAATTTACATACCACCAGATTTGTCTGAATTTAAAGAGGGAAAGTGGCCCATTTTTTTATTTTTAGAGAGATAAAGTCAATAAGAAAATATTGAGAAAGAGAAAATTTGAAATAGTAAAAAGGAGGTACGGAGTAAAAAATCCACATTACATGTGACCCAACTGTCTCCATCCAACGGTTATCTCAAGCACTGATGCGAGTTCCAATGGTTATCTCAGGCTGATGCGAGTTTGTAAAGTTCAAAGTTGAACCAACTGTTATCTCAGGCATTGATATGAGTTTGTAAAGTGCAAAGTCAAACCATGGCACTGATATGAGTATGCGAAATGCAAAATTGAACCATGGCGCTGATATGAGTGTACGAAATGCAAAGTTGAACTATAGTATTGATACGAGTGTGTGAAATGCAAAGTTGAACCGATATCAGTGTACGAAATGCAAAGTTAAACCAATGCGCCCTTGCACCCTCTCACACACACGTATGTGGTATGCTTTGTATGCTCCGCATATATGTCCATACTCTTTTTTTTGTTCCATTAATAAAAGGCATGAAAGTGTTTTTATATTAATACCACTCTTTTCACACACCACTCTTCATTCAATGACTAAAATCCACAAACTTTTTTTTTTCTTGATTTTGAACTATACAATAGTACTATACTATAATAAAATACTAATAGCAACTGAACGGGCAGCCTAGCCCTTAAAAACTCCCTCAAGCCCGGCCTGGGCCTGGGACCACTACTCGCCTATCCACTCTTTTTGTTTTTTGTGGTTCCTTAGTTAAATTCTATGGGGCTAGGACTGGCCCGGCCACTTAATGAAGGCCCTATGCCAGGCTTTGGTGAAGGCCCTTCAACCTAATCCTAGCCGAACCTCTTGACCTTGGCCAAGTCTAGCTTGGCTCAAACCAGTGTTCGTAAAATGGAACCGAAATACTTAACCGGACATGGGCTGGGAGCAGTTTAATCGGCTTAATTGGTAAACCGGCAGATTCACCAACTGTTCTAATCGAGCAAGTCCCAAGTGGCCAAAAAATTGTTGAAAAAAATCAAAGAGGTGTAAAAAAAAATCTACTCAAATATAAAAAGCATATAAAAAATAATTAAAACAAAACGTATTTAAATGAAATTGAAAATTAATAAAAAAAATGGAATTTAAAAGTAAGCATTAATGACCAAATAATTTTTAATATTTACCATAATGTAAAAAATATTAAAAAATATATTACAAATCAAATTCTTTATTTTTGGGATTTTAAACATTTTTTTGAATTTTTATTTTTAAAATACGAGCCAAACACTGAAACCGCTCGGAACCACGACCTAACCGGGTGGCCACCAGTTAGATCACCCGGTTTTTTTAACAATGGCTCCAACCCAGCCTGTTGCCAGTCCAACCTGTGGAAAACACAATTGAAAGGCGCTTTTTATGTGATTAAATACCCTCTGCAAATAATAGGAATTGAAACCAAAAGCATGTAGCATAAGAATTTCATCTAAATTTCGCCATCGCTATTTATACTATCCATCTTTCTGCAAAATGGTCTTAGAGAGAGAAAGGAAATAATAAAACCATGCTCTTAAACATTCAAGAGAGAGAGAGATAATTTATCAGTATCAGAAAGAAAAAAAAGAGGAAATTGTTACCGGGCTTTTCTGCATTGAGGACGTTGGACATGACCCGTTTGGAGGCAATGTCTTGAGAGGGCCCCCAATCTGTCCATGCGTCTTCCCCAAAATGAAGATCCGCGAACACTCCCACTCTGAACAATTCCGAATTCTGTGAAAATTTGAGGCCTTCCTTCTCAGCCCATACCTTATTCCTCACGCCCCATGAGGGGATAAGAAGAAGAAAACAATACAATCCCCAACAACCCATCTTTCCCTTCTCTCTCTTCCTCATTTGATAAAGAAAATGCAAACCCTGCACACCATGCCCTAAATTACTTACCCAAAAAAAATCCCTTTAATTACGGTTATTTCCTTTCTTTTTTTTTAACTAATTTTGGCTCTGTGTTTATTGAAGGTTGTGTTTTCCGTAAGGTTGCAACCTTAAACAATCCAATTAAGGCGCACCTTCAAATTTGATCATAACATATAAGTTTGATGTAAAAAAATTATTAGGATTATCTCAAAATCTATTTCTATATCTAATTATAAATTTTAAACACAAGAAATGGCTAAAATCAAGTAGATCTATAAACATATGAAAATTTAAAAAATAGACGGTCTAAAAAATGTGTTGTAAGATGCACTATTTTTAGGACTCAAAATCATTTTTTTTTTATAATCATACATCTCGATGTCGAGATGCTCAATTAGAGGGCTTTTCAATATTAAAACAACTTCTTCCGATGGATTTTTGACGTGCATCCGTAGTTCTACATTTTAAGGTTGCAAACTTATATAAACTTTTTCATTTATTGAATTCTTTTATTTAGTAAGTATGAATATTGTATAGCTTGCTCTTGTGGGAGTATATTGTACATCAACTTGCTTGGTCAAAAGAGTTATTTCCCAAAAAAGTTTATGGAATCGGGATTCTTTTTAAAACAATAATTTGTTGGGTTCTTCACTACTTAGATCTTGTCCTTGAAAATTTGGATGGCCCTGTTCAATTTTGAAACATTATTCTTTTCAAGCTCATAGAGACATTCATTTCAATTTTTCTTTCTTTGAGGTTGGTCCCTTGGATAAAAAAGTTACACACCCAAAATTTGGGATCTAACAAGTAGTCCTAGCTTAGGTTTTACACGAGAGAGCAATTGTACAGTATGCTCCAATGAGAACAGCACATCTTTTTGGTTCTTTTGAAGGGGTTGTATGTTTTTTATACAAGAACTTTGCTATCACGCTACCCAGCGGATGGAGAATTGAATGGCTAGGGATGCGTGGCAGATTTTAAGGAAGGGCTTTTTGAGTGTTAGTGAGGGTGGGTCTTGGGTATCTAATTGTGCATGTGAACGGAATCTAAACCTTTATTCTTTTATCACTTTTTTTGGGGAATGAGGATTTTTTAATGCTTAAGTTTTATGAAAATAAAAATAACACTTTATTTCAAATCTTTGTCAGGAAAGCATTTTTTACAATAAAAATATCCATAGAAGCTCGAAAATCAATATCTAATATTGACAATAAAATTTAAAACTAAAAAAATAGTACAGATGTTGCAAGTGTATGAACACTTATTTTTAGGTTAAAATAAATGGCATAGATACCTTATTACAATATACCTTATTTTTAACACTTGTAAATTTTTTTTTTTTTTTTTTTTGACAATCATAATAGTTAAGCGAAGATAATCAATGTAAAGATTTCCAATACTTCAATTCCAATTTTGGAAGAGTTAAAAGGTGAGGCATTACTTATTTTACTTATTTTAAATGGGCTGCAACCCTGTCAAACCGGCATATGCGGGTATATTCGTTGGCTACAATTCAGATTTTTTAACCTCTCCAACATTTGAAAAGCCCAAGCTAGGCTTCCATCCCAAGCATTCAATCTATGGGTAAATATTTAGACAGTTTTTCACTCGGCGAGCATATTCCCTCCGATCATTATTGGACGGTGGAGATTAGATTGGGAAAAACCATGTCAAATCAGTACAAAAAGAAATAATAAGGATTTCAAACCGTGTTTTCTCATCTCTCTATATCTTGTCGTTGTCTGTATTTCTAATATATATTATTAATATGATATAATATAATATAATATTATATATAATATAATACATAATATATAATATAATAAATAATATTTAAATAAATAATAATATATACCATAAGAATAATGATCTTATAGGACCCTCATCCATTTATGTGCGTAAGATTTTAAAAGATCATCATTAAAGTTGGTACAGATCTCCAAAAAAATTATCATATAGGGTAAAACTTGATTTTTTTATAGATCCGTACCAAAATTAATGATAATCATTTAATATCTTACGTACATAAACAAAAGATAGTTCTATATTATCAATTCTCATATCATACACATAATATATAAATATTAAATTATATATTATATTATATTCATTATAATATATATTATATAATATCTTATATTATACTATATATAATATAATAAATAATATTAATCATGTGGCAAAATTTTGACTCTCTACGTGCCCTCTTTCACTTTCTCTACCCATCCTCTCTCTCTACTCGTTTTCTCTCACATTCTGTCTCTGTCATTTCTTCCCCGCCCTTTCTAGAACCTCTCTTCCATCTCTCTTTCTTTTGATACGAATTCACAGTATTTTTTTTTTTATATACGAATTCATGGACTCTCTCTCACTATAACCAGCATAGATCCTCCAATTTTCGTTCCACTCCTTAAAGCCCATACCCTTTCATCCTCAAACCCTTTCCTCTCTCTAAAACCTAAAACCATTTTCTCTCTCTAAAACAAGCAAGCTTTGTTCCCAAATCTCATTTCCTTCGAAGCAAATACTGCAGGTCTTCCTCTTTAGCCGCCAAGAAGACCGAGGCATTCCAGGCGTGCGACCTCCCCATTCATACTGCAACGATCTCACCTCTCGCCAAAACCTTTTCATTCTTTCTGGTGGCGAGCTCCAAACAATTGCCGCTGATAAACTGCAAAACAAAATAGCAAAGTTGCTGGCGACTTGTTTGACACCCAACAAAATTTTCCTGTTGAATCCCCTGCGGGTAGAGAGAGAAAGTAAGAGAGAGGGAGTATACCTCAAATTGCAGTTGAAAATATATGTGTTTACTAAGGGCAAGCGTTCTATGTTCCTTTATAGGATAGAAGTTCTATTCTCCCTTTAGCCGTCCATTTTGAATGGAGAGCTAAGATTGTCTCAATCACAATGTCACATCTCAATACTATTTTAATTTTTTTTTATAAATTATTTTCACATCAAATTTTGGACATCCATTCTTCTATTAAAGTCGCAGTAGTTAAAAATATATAAAAAATATTTTTAATAAAATAAAATAACCAAAATACTTTTGGGAGTTTCAAATGATATTTTGGGCATTATATTTTATCGAAAAATTATTTTTAATATTTTTTATAAGTACATCTCAAAGAGAAGATGACCGGCTGGATAGTAAGGGGAAGATAGAACTTCTATGATATAGGAGAAACATAAAAACTTTGCCCTTTACTCAAAATGGTGGAGAATAATCATCTTTCAACTAATGCTAATGAGGGCTTATGAGAATCAAAACATGCAGCAACCTTAAAATGTAGAAATACAGATGAACCTTAAAAATCCATCGAAAAAAGTGATTTTAATGTTGAAAAAACCTCTAATGGATCATTTCGATATCGAGAGGTATGAATATGAAAAAAAAAAAAAGATTTTGAGTCTCTGAAATAGTTCATCTTGCAATAGATGTATGAATATGAAAAAAAACGATTTTGAGTCCCTGAAATAGTTTATCTTGCAATACATTATCTAGACCGTCCATATTTCAAGATTTTCAAATGTTTATAGATCTACTTGCTTTTAACCATTTTTTGGGTTTATAATTAGATACAAAAATATATTTTGAGATATCCTAATATATACTTTTTTTCCAAAATTACATGTTATGATAAGTTTTTGAGGTGTGCCTTAATTGGATTGTTTAAGGTTGCAACATTATTGAAACCACACCCCATTTATTATGTTAAATTCGTATATCATATTCTACTTCATGATCGCATTAGATGGAACCAATCAAATTTAAAGGATATTTGGAAATAGAAAATCCCTCATAAGGTGCAAGTGTCTATCTAAGTTTTATCTCAGAAAAAGATATTGACGGTTGATAATTTAAGGAAAAGGGGAAAAATTCTTGTTGATGCTTGCCTTTTTCGCAAAGAAGATGAGGAGAGTGTTGATCATTTATTTTTACATTGCCTATATACTTATCAATTATGGTGTTGGGCATTGCAAAAAGTTGGGCTTCTCTTACCTATGCCGCATTCTATCACAATTTGGATGAGCAGTCTGAAGTTAAATACGGTTCCAAAGATAGGTGGTATTGTTGGTAAATACGGTCCAACGATTGAAGCAGAAGCAAAATAAACAACCAGGAATCAAGTATCATACCTGAGTGCTCGCAAAATAGTTTTGGTGAACGAATGTGGAGACGAATGATCAACTCACGTAAGCCCGTCCGACAACTACTAGAGCTGTCAAAATCTGTTCCATACCGTAAATCCCAAGCGAAGTGGAAGCTCACAAATACTCCAACTAGTGCGATTGAGGAGCAATCCGAGCTCGACTCTCACGCACAACTCTATATCTCAGGGCTGGTTCTACCCTTAGAAGTTAAATGAGGGATGGATTGTACTCACATTCTTTCACACACTTTTTCTCTCTCAATGGTAGCTCTCACACTTTTTCTCTCTCAATGGTAGCTCTCACGCCTCTCAAACCTTTCTCGTGTGTGTTGTGGTATGTAGAGACCTCCACCCCTCCCTCTTTTATAATGAGAAAAATTATCATCTCATTCATGTGGGAGTAACTTCCTCATGAATGGGCACCCTTATGGTGCATGATGCGGGCCATTCATGGGAGGGTAACCCCCTCATGAAGAAGTGCAACCTCTCCCCACCTCCATTCATATAGTAACATAAGTCAAACATGACGGGGTGTGGTCCATTTGAGTATACTTTCATACTAAGGACGCACCCTCATGTCTACATCTCCCACTCATTCCGTATGTGGGAGGGGTTACGTGCTTAAGTAAGAGTTGTTGTGTACAATCGTATATCGTGA